TCATCTATGAATGAGAAAAAGATGAGATGACTTTACATCCTTGGAAAAGGAGGGGGGAAAAACCTAAGTTATTAGACAACATTAGGATTACCAGATAGCAACTGTGAAAAAATGGGACGGGGGTAATAGGTGCATATATAAGAAAAAGTCCCAAAAAACTGGACTGTCCCTTTAAAAACGGGACATCTGGTCACCCTAGGCAACGTTTAGCTCAGCGTGGGGAATCATACTTCCTGAGACTACCATTTAGTGAAAGCAGACTGGCTTCAAGGTTCCATTGAGATAGGGTCTTCATTCTTATAGGCAATAATGTACTAGTATTTGCTTCTGAGACTCCAAGTTAGTTACAGAATACAAATACAATACAAGCTTTGTCACCTTGCATCACTGCGTAACATTTTTGTCTGTATGCATATTTTCTAGAGGCACATGGCACTTCTGAAGGCTTCTCTAAGATTCAGCAGTGATAAAGGCACGAGTGAGACATTTTGGGGTTCACCCAGGCCAGTAAGAGGTTCGGTCACCATCTGCCAGGGTGTCTTGTGACTGTACAGCTCTGACCCCAACAGCCTGCCAGCATGTCACAAGCATCACCCTGGGTTTGCCCAACCTGGTTACTCCTTGCAGGATGACCTTAAAACACTTCTTGCCCCGAATTCACCTCAAAATCATGCTACTTGCAGGGATCAGTCCCTCTCACGAGACCCTCACAGAGGAAGTGTTAGGTTCACTGCCTTTGCAGAGACAGTAAAACAGTGTAACCTGTTTGCTTTTTAGAAGCACACACTTTACTGAACTTACACAGCAGTGAAGATTTATAATGAAAGTAAAACAAGTTTATTAACAAAAGAACATGGATTAAGTGATACCAAGTAGAAGGGATAAAGGTAGAAATGGCTAAAGCAAATAAAAGTGAAAACATATCTCAAAGACTAAAACTTAATCTGCAACATACTGTCTTTTGTTCAATATGGTTCCTCTCACCTACAGTCTCCTTTTCAGCTTTCACTGAGCAGCCTGGCCAGGACCCATCACAGAGATCAACTCACTTGGTTCCTTTGTCTCCTAAGGTGAAGGATAAAGATGGAGTCTCTTTCTGTTCCTTATTATCCCCCAAGGGATGTCTGTCTTACAAGTCAAGAAGACCTCCTGGGGATTCAATCTCCTGTGTGTCTATGGGGAGCAGGGGTCCTGTTAAATCATTCTCTCTCTCTCTCTCTCTCTCTCTCATATTCAGGATAACGCCTGCCAGTTTAGCTCGATGGCTTTGTTGACCACTAATATGTAAAGTGAGGTAAACCCACATTCCTTTGTCTAGGACCTCTTTATCACCTTTACCTAGACTAGGCTGTCTAGTCTTAAATATGTCCTAGTAACATCATACAGAGGGAATTCATAACTTCACATGTGTTAACACATGCATTTTACAATAATATTAACAATCAGCATGTTATTAGCTTTCATATGGTACCTCACAAGGCATATTTTGTACAAATACTATTGCAGTGGTGCGTGTAGTGTGTGAATACAGGGGTGCCTAGGGTCACTGTGAGTAAACCAGTATAACTACAAAATGATTTCAGAAGTTAAAAGTTGATAGCCATGCATGCATCTTTTTAAATTTCAGGTGACTTCATCTCCTGTCTCACTCCAGACTATCACTAGGTTATGCTAAATTGTGAACCACAACGTAATATCATCCATTTATGGATATTTTCACCTCAGGATTTTTTTAAATGACTTGGTTAACATAAAACTTCCTTTCCATTTACCACCTACAGCTTTCATTTTACGTACAGCAATCAATGTAAATAATTTAAAAACAAATCAACACCCCACAATACCTTTCGGTAGACAACTTACCTTCCCTCTTCCCCCCCCCCCCGATCATTATGAGCCCTCAATTTAGAAAAAAAGTATTTCTGCTTTGTGATACTTCCATTGCCATTATAACTTCCACATCATGGTGGTATAATGTTGAAGCTGGATGTGTTGAATGCAATGATCTCCATGCCTTGAATAGGAGGAGTAGTCAGGCTAGGATACTACATCCGCATACCCGTTGTGTAATATGTATTTACAGCGGCTTATGATGATGATGCATGTGTTAAACCATGATTACAACTCAGAATAATACAGGTTTACAGTCGATTTAGTGCATGACAGAAAAGTTCCAAAAAGCTGCATGAACATTCTAGAGTACATAAGTGAATAAGATATTGAAAATATTTTACAGTGTAGTAATGGAACATGGACATCTGGTGACAAAAACAAACTGGCCATTGCTATATTGTTTAATAAGTCTTTATTGTGTGTGGGGAGGGGGCAAAGTAAGTTTTCCTGTATTATGACAGTACAAATATTCAATTATACACCCCCCCACACACTATTAATTGTGAATAAGACCTTGTATAAAATATATAAGAAATGTTAAATAAAAAATCCATAGAGTCAAGACTTAAGTAATTCAGTGCTATTGTAAGCCTCTATCATATTAGCTGGTGATGATTTTTCACATATATTTTATGTTGCAATTTTCGAAATATCCGTCAAACATCTGCAAATACATTATATACTTTAAAAATGTTTTGAAGGCTTCAGCTAACTGTTTTGAAGAACCAAGCCAGTTCATATTTAAACCACATTTGTAAACAGTGTACTTTATGTTGGACTAAGCTACAAAAAAACCCAGTTTTCATATAAAAATATGCTTGTGTTCTAGGAGTTAAAGCCATACAAACTACTTTCCTGACATAAAATTTAAAAATTGCATAACAAACATGTGTAGGAGAAGCATCTGTGCAGGTCTACAGTCTCATAGTGTACTGAAAAGGTTTTATTGTTTATAGGACATGTTCAAAAGGGTGTATAATTCATTATACATGGTTAGTCATCCATACATGGTTTTTACATTTTGCCTGTAGGTAGGCTGAGCACCTGGTGATATGGCAGTATATTTAAACCATTTCTTACCAAATGTTCATTGGATCACACAGATTTTAACATTTGCAGACCAAGGGGATCGTTAATGCACAGTCATATGGGTAGCCCCAAACCACAAAATAAAAACTTACATTTCCCCTCCTAACCAAGGTAAGACTGAAGATGAAGATGTGGGTAATCTACTTCACATGGGGGAATGAGTACTGTAGTGGGTAACAAATGCTAAAAGCCAAGCTTTCCCAATAACTGTACAAATTTGCCTTAGAACCTTTTATCTTTTTTTCTTAAATCTTCAGTTTTTCCCGAGATTTGGTCATCTTGTTAAACAGCAGTTACATTTTGGCCAGGACACACGTTCTGTGGCAATCAGGTATGGGAAGGGGATGGTAATATTTACAGCAAGCTGTTCAGCACACTTGTAAAAGTTAATGTGAAAGCAAAGTACCGGTACTGTGTATCGAACCTCAAGGGAGGAAAGGCTAAACAAGGAAAGTACACTGTGTACAAAGGGATATGGTCTAATTAGACATGAATTCCAACTACCGAGCTAGGTGAACTAGAATTCTAGATACTGTGCAGTACCTGAGCTCTCTACCACAGTGTAAGCATGACTCAGCCCATGATCAGATCATCTTTAATGCCTGGTATGCTTATTTACGTTAAAGTTCAAAGCTGTTTTAAGTCTTTAGTTTTTGGAGGTAGAGGGTTACAAGCAAAGTGGGGGGGGGGAGAGGAAGTGAGGGGGGGAGATAGAAGAGAAGAGAAACAAGGAGAGGGGAGGTTAAAGCACACCAAAATACCTGGATCAATCCTTCCTGCTCCCCGGCTGCTCTCTCTGGAATAGCTTGTGCTCCTATGCCCACTTCACTAAGGGGATTCCTCCACAAGCACAAATTAATAATTCATTCATAGGCTCCAGTCCCTTAGCCTGCATTGATTTACTTATGCTGCATTTCCTTTCATTCATAAGCCTTTCCCCGTCCTGATCTCTCGGAGAGCGACTCGCTGCAGCGCTCAGCCAGGGAGGACGCTGCAAACGTGCCTTCGTGCCCAAGGACATGCACCATACGACTCAGTTCAGTGTGCGAACCTGACCTAAGCCCGGAATCCGCCGCTCCTGCGTCTCAACATGCCCCTTCGCCACGGATCCGCTCTGTCGTCTTTTCATCCCGTCCTCTTCCCCCTCGCGGCGACTCTGCGGCCGGGATGCTCAGCTGGTTTCGGCGCGAGGGGCTGAGCTCCAGCCATCCGTCTCCTCTGTAGGGCTGGGTGACAGATGCTTGTCCTGCAGCAGTGCACGGTCTGAATTGGCCAGGGCTCCGGGGGGTGTACGCAGCCCCCCTCCCGCTCCTGCCAGCCCTGCTGAGCCCTTCCCAGCTCAGCCCCTAGGGCAATGTGCACTGCTCCCTTCAGCTCCCCCCCGGGAAGGGCTGAGTCGCACTCTGAGCTCCTCCAGACTTTGCCAGACCTTGGCCCTTGGCCCCTCTCCTGTGCCTGCTTTGCGCTCTCTGGCTCTCCGCGCTATCCCACTAAAAGGCTGCTCCACTGAACCAGTGCATTGGCTGACTTGATCTGGGATGAAGGCTGGAGCTTACCGGCGAGGGAAAGGAGACCTGTAGGCAGCTTTCCATTCGTAAAGTGAGCAGTAATTGCAAGGAGGCAGCCTCCCCGCTTGGAATCAATAGAGGCTGCTTGCTCGCTGCTAAGGGCACTTTGGAGCAGCAGCAGGGCACTGAAGTAACTCCAGCACACTGCTGACTGCGGAGTTGTAAAGAACTACATGCAAAGTGGCTGCAGCAGGGCTGGGAAACGCTTCGCTGTTACCAAGGACACAATAGTTTTTTCAAGTCATTAGAGCTTTTTTCTCTGGTCCTCTCCTTCCATTATCCAGAGAGGGCCATTCCTGGGAGGGATGAGGATGGAGCTGTGATATATTTTTTTCCTCCCCAGCGCTGCTTTGGTGGGGGGTGGGGGAGAGAGGCTTTAGCAAGCAGCTCTGCTGCTGAGATCAGCTCTGCTCGAATTTCCCCAAGTCTTCTCAGCCTCGGAGAGAAACCATGATTTTGAACCTACTCCGGGCTTTTTGGGGGGTCTTCTTTATTTTCTGGACAGCTTTTAACACAGCCCTAGTGGATGTGGTCGGATCGGAGCAGCAGATCCCCTTGTCGGTGTAAGTGTTTTCATGTTTTTGCTCTCCGACCACGCTCCAGGGGTGAAAACTTGGAACCCCGGTGCCCAAGTTTTTGTTGTTGTTGTTGTTCGTTGCAGATGTTTGACTGTTCAGAGCATTTTATTCCCTTGCCGGTTCTGTTTGGAGTCCAGTGCCAATGATGCTTGGATTTTATTTTAGGGGTGGGTGGTAAACTGGTAGAGAAACTAAAGTTAAAAGCCTTTCTGTGTTGGAGGTGATGCATTTACTCACTCTAATATGCTGATTTCTCAGCTTCCAATGCTATCCCGCTATTTCATCTTCCTTCTTGCAGCCAGTTAGTATGTTAGAGATGATGCAAAAACCTGTCTCTTTACAAATTAGTTTATTTATTTTTAAGTGCAGTTTAAGCAGCTTGAAATCCAAAGCCTTACCTTGGTGTATGATGTGAACTACATGTATCTTGGGGCTTGCACTTGTGAACACGAGCTCCTCTGTTCTTTTGATCTGATGTTATTTCCTAACAGTGCTTTTTAAGGGAACATTGCTTAGATTCTTCAGAGTGCAGTTGAGGCTGTAGCTCTGTGTGTGTGTGTGTGTGTGTGTGTGTGTGTTGCCTACTGTAACATGTGTATTACATTTCTTCCTGTCTTTTTTCCCCTGCTCCCCACAGTGTAAAGCTCTGGGCCTCAGCTTTTGGTGGGGAGATCAAATCCATCGCAGCTAAATACTCAGGTTCCCAGCTTCTGCAGAAGGTAAGGATCTCTCCAGTTGTAGCAAGCAATGGTTTTAAGCACAGAAAATGGAGGCAGATTTAGTTTTCTAAACAAGCGGGAGAGCAGCACATCCTTTGGTTAGAGGGCTTTTTTTGCTTTGCATACAGTTCCTGGGCCCTGCTGTCTCCTTGCACTGCACTGGCTGGAGACTTCCTGATTATCTGGTGATTTTTAATGGATTTCAGTTCCAAACAAAATTACTTACTCGTGAAGTGCACAGTGAAGCCTAGAACATAGCTATTTTGTCTTCTTGTTACTGTGTGATGACGGTGTTTCAGCATGGAAACAGCGGCTTCTCTGTGAAAAATGTTAACTTCATTCAAGGAGCAGAATTAGTGCATATTTTATCATTCTTTGCATCCTGTGTTGTAAGCATGCAGTCCACTGTATTAGGGAAAGAAGACTACCATTGTTTATCATCTCTGCTGTTTTTGCAATCCCATTATTTCCCAATCATCTCTACCCAGTGCTGGGATGTATTACATCATTACAGATAAGGGGAATGAATGTGGTTATCTTCTTGCTCAGCTGCACAGCTGGGTAATAACCTAGTGAAGTAATGCAAAAACTTGAGAAATTGGTTTATGTCTACATAATTCTGAAGAGTAATGAGAACACAGAATTGATTATAAGACTTTAATATAAAGTTGCACAGTTAAATTAGAATAGATGCATCTTCTGATAAATGTTCCATATTGAGATAACTTGTTTTTATAGTGGTTGATTAATTAAAAATTATGAGAGAGAGAGGTTAAAAGACTTCAGTATTGCAGTTGTGCAGCATTTAATATATGATCCTCAAAGCATGATATTGGAATCCAATAATTTCCAGTATATGAATGCCAATGATTCAGTTTATCAGGAAACTTTTTCCAAACAGGACTTTAGTCCAAAGTAACAAGTTATGCATGCTGTGTGGTAATTGTTTATGGCACATATTTTGAAAGTATTTATATCCTTTGGAAGTTGTGCAACAGACAGTATGTATTACACTGGCGATCCAAAAAGTTTATGCTAAAAATTAAAATTGCAGCAATATCTTACTGATTATTAAGGCTATATAAGAGTACTTACTGTATAAGGAATTGATGCTTTCAATATTGTGGTTCCCAGTATTGCAAAAATTGAGTTTCATTAAGTTAAAATATATAGCTCTTAAGAGCAAAAGTATTTGGCGTCTTAGTGCTTCTCAAGGCCATTACATTGTCTGAATGTAGCATTTTAGGTATACAGTTATTTTAATCTAACCTTTGAGACACACTGCATTCATTGTAGTCCTACTTCATATTTTATACTTACTTTAAACACTTCTTTGTATAGTTTGTGCCATCATGCTTCCTGCATAAACAGTTTTGTAATCAGAAAACACAATAACGTTACCTTTTTGAATTGCTGACCACTATCTAATCAAAACATATTTTATGTTTTGGAAATTATCTAATATTGTTCGAATATGTTAATTTTTAATTGAGCATTGCCAGATATGTCATTTTAGTTAATATGGTCTTATTTAACTTTGTCCACTAGTGTAAATCTTTGCGCGCATACACAACGTGATTTTAAAAGTTTATCTACTGAAGATAAACTGTCCAATGTTTGATTGCAAAATTCAGAACATATTTTGATTCTCAAAGCTGTTAAGACCATAGAGTCAGTATAGATTCTTAATCATTCTTCTCTTCACTTAGATACTGATATGACCACTTCTGTAATAATGTATTTTTCTTTGTTTCCCCCCCCTAAAGTAGTAAGATTTCTTTCTGTTGGTTGTTATGCTGTAGGTGACTGGAAGCTACCTCAATGCTCATTTTACCTTTGCATCAGCATCCTTTTTAATTCACCAGCAAATCTGTTTCTGTTGTTTTTACAGCTTGACCATTGTGGGTTTATTCCTTGATATTTGTTTTTAATTTCTTGCCTCTTTGCCTTTATTCTGGTATTTCATAATATGATAGGTATTTAGGGCTGTATTGCAGACAGTAGGATTTTATTTCCCTCCAGCATCTTGATGGCCATAATTGCGTTTTTCATTTTATTTTAAATTCCATTTGGGACCTGTTCGCTAAAACTTTGCATTTCTCTACATTGATGGTAATGGATGAGCCTGGATGGTAGAATGCTTTTACAAATATTCTTCTGTAAAGTTTTATACTTCAGCTTTCTTCAGTTTATTTGTGCAAATGAACACATATCAAGCTTGAAGATTTAAAAGTATAAATGCAAATAATTTTCAGTGCACATAAGTCAGTGGTGGAATAAATCACAACATTTGACAAAGTGATAATACATCAGTATCCCAAACATGAACATTTTTTCCAGTGTCAAACAATTTAAGGATCCATTTAGAATTTATTCTGACAGAATTGGGTTTCTAGAGTTAGTACATTTTAAAATAATGTTGTGAGTTTACTTTAATTGTTGTTTATCACATTATCTGTGAATGAAACAATACTTTACGATTAGGAATATAAAATATTAGCAGATGGAGTTATAAAGCATTTATAAAGGCACTATACCTGATTGGTATAATTTTCTAAGTTGCAAAGTATTCTGAAGTCTTTCTAAATGAAAAATTAATATGAAAGGTTATTTAGTTCATTTTGTCTTAATGTGGAATAAGCAAAGTTATTTCACAGGAATACATTTGAAATTGAGACTATATTTAGACATAATGCTTCTTGACTATTTTATATATTGAGGATCATAGGACAACTTGCTAAATGAAATTTTAATATGAAAGTTAAATAGGTTAATCTCTAAGACCAAACTTCACAAAGATATTACAATTAATAGTTAGTAATTATTCTAAAGTATTGTTACTTTAAGCATTACTGTTTTGAATTTTTGGTAGCAACTTGCGTAGAAGTGATGGTTATTCATCATTCTGAAGCAATCTCTATGTAAATAAATATACATTTGTGCTTACAGCTATATAACTAAGTTGAAATATCTGTAGACGGGGCATTTCAGCATTCTGTTATATTGCTACTTCTATAGTCTGGCTATATTGTTATGCCCTTATAAAAATATGGGGCATATGATGATGGTGATGATTTCCTTCAGATTCTGCTCTAGATGAAATTCAGACTGTTCATATATGTTTAACTTGCAGAATTCAAGACCAGCTGTTTTTAAACAAATTAACCTTTTTATGAATATAATTGATTTTTATACCGCATTATTTATCTTTAAAGGAAATGAACATATTGGGTACTCAGAACATACCCAACAGAGAAAACAGAACACTATTGTTGCTTAGATGTTTTTAACTTAGGGAGGTTTTACAGTTTATCATTTAGATTTGGTATCATAAAATAAAGTGTCTGCATGCTGCTGTAGAGACACGCATACTCTTCAACTAGTTAGCAGATACTGCTGGGTCCTGGGATTAGGTTCAGTTTAATTAACTGTCCTGTGTGATATGTGCTATTGTTTCCCTTATACTTTCAGAAAGCCTTAGCTTCACTTTTCATCTTGACATGCTTTTAAAAGCCATATCTCTATAATATTGTGATTATGGCTAATTAGAACTGCAACAGATATGCTAGCATAGTCTGCTGAAATAGCCAGAATTTTTACATGCAGGATTCAAATCAGGATTTAAATTCAGTGGAGATGCTTATTTAACCTGCTGTAATAAGAATTCTGGAAGAGCTTTGTTTGGAAACACTGCTGTTCACATTCTAAAGTTCATAGTCATAACGGTTTCCAATTTAATACTGTTGCAGCAGAATGGTGGTAATGAAACACAGGTGATGCACCTTCCTTTAATGTTAAAAATAATTGGGGTTTACGCAGTAAAGCTCTTCAAGCTCCTGTAGAGCGGCTGGTTCTTTAACCTGGTTTACGCTTTCTCAGGTTTCTATTGGGGAGTCATTTTTTTCATACACAGCGCACTGACATTCCTTTCTTGAGGCCAGAATTGGCAATATTCCATTTAATCAGTTGATATAGGGGCAATATAAAAACAGCCATTTATTTATCAGCACATGCTATTTAGGTTTCTTGCTAAATACAAGTTTATCCAAAGCTTTCTTTTTCTTATGGAAGGTGTTAAACTGAACCTTCACTGTTACTTAACTGCCTATTATCTTAAATTCTAACAGTGTGTATTGTATGACTATGTCAACCGCTTACTTCAAGTACTTCCATATAATGGAGCCTCCCAAATCATTGCATTTTCTCAAAGCATTTTTCCAGTCAACGTAACATTCCTGTTTTTAAAGTTTTAAATTGCATTTTATTTTCCTGAATAGGTTTGGTGCTGTATCTTCTTAGCTTCTTACAACTATGGAAATGTCAGTACAACCTTATTATAACAGGGTGATTTAGATCAATTAGTATTCAGCTGGTGCATCTGACTCATGCAGTACATCTATCTTTAGTTTTAAAACACATAATGGTGACAAAGTTCACTTTATATTGATTCGGAGAAATTTAGTCCAATTATCTTGACATTAATTGCCTTTCTTACCCCCCTCATGCGGCTCACTTTTTTAAAACCTTGATTTTATTATTATTTTTAATTCAAGGTAATACGAATACTATTGTCTGTACTGGGATAAGGGTCAGTAATATTGTTGATAGTGCAAATTAAAGCAAAGGCATAAATTATTGTCTTGTTGGACATTAGCTTTAAATTTTATGCCAGTTTTGATTATTAATTTTGATCTTGCAAAGAAGCAATATTGAGTCTTCTTAGTAAGAAGTGAATAATATCAAAATAACGTTAGGAGTAAATATGCTTGTGATTTTAAAAAAAGGTAAATGTTATTAATCATATAGTACCAACATCACATTAAGTAAATTATAATTATACAGCTTCAAGTTTGTGCTCAGCAAAACTTCTGGGTGCCTCATATAACTAAATAAAAATTGTCATTACAAAATGATAGAGAGATACATGCAAGGATATAAAAACAGTTTAATCCTAGATTTTTGCTTGTCATTTTAAGAAATTGCTTTTTTTTTGTATGCAT